GAACCTTCCCTCTAATGCCAGCAGAACACACATGCTCTGTATGTACCTACAGAACATACACCAAGACAGCATACCATGGGTCATAAACAAACCTCAGTAAATGTAAAAGTTGAAATCATGAAAACTATGTTCTCTGAAAAAAATAGAATCAAACTAGAAATCAATAAAAGAAAATCTTCAGATGCTTTTAAGCAATCCACTTCTAAATAATCTGTGAGTAAAAGAGGAATGAAACAATACACTGAACTGAATGAGAATGAAAACACTAAATATAAAAATATATGTGTCTCTTGGAACTCTGCTCAATGTTATGCAGCAGCCTGGATGGGAGGGGAGGGTTTGGAGGAGAACAGATACAAGTATATCCCTTCGCTGTTCAACTGAAACTATCACAATATTTTTTGTTAATTGGCTATACCCCAATACAAATAAAAAGTTTAAAAAAATTTTAATAAATATATATGTATCTGTGTGTCTGTGTATGTGCACATGTGTCTCAGAGCAGTGTTGAGAAATTTATAGTACTGTTTACATGATCTATATAATTACAAATGAATAACCTAAGTCTTCACCCCGAAATACTAGGGGAAAAAAAGAACAAAATAAACTAAGCAAAAAGAAGAAATAACAAAGATAAGTGCAGAAATTAGTGAAATTTAAAATAGAAAAAGAATGAGAAAATCAATGAAACAAGAAGCTGGTTTCTTTGAAAAAGATCAGTCCTATTGACAAACCTCTAGCAAGAGCGACAAAGGGGAAAGAGAGACAAGAAGCCTTTTACTAACATCAAGAATAAAGCAAGAATGTTACCACAGACCTGGTTCAGTAGATAAAGAGTCTGCCTGCAATGCAGGACCTAGGTTCGATCCCTGGGTTGGGAAGATCCACTGAAGAAGGGAATAGCTACCTACTCCAGCATTCTTGGCTGGGAAATCGCATGCACAGAGGAGCCTGGCAGGTACTGTGCACAGGAGCCGCAGAGTCATGCAGGACTAAGCAACTAAACCATCACCACCGTGCATTCTATTAATACACAAATCAGTTTCCAAACATAGATGACATAAGACAAGTCCTCAAAAAGTACAGACTAACAAATCTTACCCAATATGAAATAGATTGTTTGAACAGTACTTTCACTATTAAGGAAACTAAATTAATAATTTAAAACTCTGAAAAGACATCTCCAAGTCCAGACAGTTTCACTAGAAGTTTTCACCAAATGTTTCAAGAAGAATTAGCAATTCTACACAATCCCTTCCATACGAATAGAAGAGCTCATTCTATGAAACAGGTATTACACTCATATTCATATCAAAACCAGATAAAGACATCATTATAACAGAAAACCACAGACCAATATCCCACAAGAAGATAGATACAAAATATCCTTAGCAAGATGTTAGTAATTTAAATCCCATCAGCTTTTACATAATTTAACACCCACTTCATGATAAAAAAAAAAAAACTCTCAAAAAATAAATGTGGAAAGAAAGCTCTTCAACTCGATAAAGGATGTCTAGAGAAATTACAAAAAAATGTAAGTACTTAAATGAAAGACTGAATGCTTTCTTTCTGAGCCTGGGAACAATGTAAAGACATCCACTCTCACCACACTATTCAATGGAGTGCTAACATTCTTAGCTGATGCAGTAAGATAATAAAAGGAGATGAAAGTCATACAGATCACTAAAGAATTGTCTCTGTTTGCTAATGGCATAATTGCCTTTATAATATGACCATCTGAGGGGATCTATATACGATCTCCTGGGACTAATATGTGAGTTTAGCAAGGTTGCAGAATGCAAGATCAAATATACCTGAATAAATTTTTTTTTAAAAGTAGGCTTGTAGGGACCATTTGTATGAGTGCACTTGTTTTTATTGGGCTGGATGAGGTTTAGTTGAAAAGCTGCCTAGATTAAATGCTTCTTAAAATATTTGAAACCCTTTCCCAGCTCACCCATTTTTCTGAGTCTGTTGTCACTACCTCCATTGAATTTTTAAAATCTGGTACTTGCAGATAACACAGGTACTGATCATTAGATGTCGCCATGAATAACCAAGCGGTAAATGCTAATTATTTCCCCGCACATATATATATATGCAACACACACATAAGCTCACCCTGGGGAAAAAAAAATGTGTCATAATAACAAAAGATGTAAAGGTACTGAAGAATTTATTTGCAGGGCAGCAATGGAGAAACAGAAAAAGAGAATAGATTTATGGACAGGGGGAGGGGGGAAGAGAGGGTGAGATGTAATGAAAGAGTAACATGGAAACTTACATCACCACATGTAAACTAGGCAGCCAACGGGAATTTGCTGTCTGGCTCAGGAAACTCAAACAGGGGCTCTGTCTCAACCTAGAGGGGCGGGATGGGGAGGGAGATGGGAGGGAGGTTCAGAAGGGAGGGGACACATGTATACCTATGACTGATTCATGTTGTGGTTTGACAGAAGACAACAAAATCTGTAAAGCAACAAATTATTCTGTAAAAAATAAATAAATTTTTTAAAAAGATATAATGTACTGCATCCTTTCATGTGCCAGGTGTTGTATAAAATGTTTTACAGCCATTATTTTATCTAATTCTCACAACACTACTGTAAAGAGTTAATTTTGACCCCCACTTAAGGGCAGGAAACTAAAGCTCAGAGAGACCACATGGATTTCTTAGCACTTCCCAGATCACGAACAGGAGAATGAGGATTCCAACCTAGTCTGTAGTTGTTTGATGGTGTCAAAAAATAATACCCTTCAAGTTCAAGCCATCTGATATATGGTCACATGGAGACAGACAGATGGAAATCATGGTGAAATTAGGAAGGAGGGCAGGCTAAGCTGTGTGAACAAACAAGTTGAACGATACTCCTCTGAATTAAAGCTGCCCTCCTTCCAAATGCAGATCTTTCCTACCAAACGCACTTTACCCAAGCAACCCCAATGGAATGCTTTCTGTTTGCAGGTGTACCCTAAAGAGAGAAGAGAAAAGCCCAGGGCTCTTCAAGCCAAGTTACAGCTCAGTTCTAATGATGATTGTCCAGGAATCATGATGAGTAAAATTAAACCCAGTTGGAGTGATCGCCGAGCAAGCGTGATTATAGAATCATGTTATGCGACTCTACGGACATGGGTTTGAGCAAGCGCCAGGAGTTGGTGATGGACAGGGAAGCCTGGCATGCTGCAGTCCATGGGGCCACAAGGAGTCAGACACGACTGAGCGACTGAATGGAACTGATGCCATCATTCGTCGTGCCAGGGAGGGTCCACCTAGACTGCATTTCTCAGCTTCCAGAGAGTACCACGTAAGAGGCCACTGCTGTAGCAAAGTCTCAAATTTCACAAGGGCTTCCCAGGTGGGTCAGTGGTAAAGAATCTGCCTGCCAAGCAAGAGACTCAGGTTCAGTCCCTGGGTCAGGAAGATCCTCTGGAGAAGGAAATAGCAAGCTGCTCCAGTTTTCTTGCCTGGGAAATCCCATGGGCCTGGCGGGCTACAGTCCATGGGGTGACAAAAGAGTCGGACACGACTTGACGACTAACCAACAGCAACAACAAATTTTATGATGGTGGCATCCTTGGTGGCATCATCAAATCTTACTCCAAGTGCCTTTCCTCCCCTTCCTGCACCTTCAAAAATCTCACTTTCTGTTTCCTCTCTGAGGCTGAAATGTCTGGCACCCCTCATTTAGAACTCAATAAACACTCCAACTTACTGCTGCAAAACCTCCTTCACAATCTCCCGTGAGCAGCCCTTGGGTTCCCCATCCCCGTGGTGGTCGACTCTGCTTCCTGACTGCACTTGCCTAGATCTGAGATCCCAACTTTCAGGGCATTTTCCCCTCTGGTTCCCCTGTTTGTTCCCTGTGTGGAATCACCTTCAGTGCATCTCTGAGCAGAGACCACTGTTGAAGTGACTAAGCTCCAAGTCCCCAAGGGCACAGAGAACATAAATATCTCCCTCACCTGCCGCCAAGACCTTGTCCCGCCTCCACTTTTCAAAGTTCTTAGTTTCAGATAACATTTCTTTCTTCCATATCTTCTGCTATTTCCTCTGCGTTTGGGCGCAGCCATTAATTCCCATCTGCCATTCGCCTACATTTCCAGGGGGATGCAGCTGAGCTTCTGGGAGTTTCACTGCCTCCTACACTGGCCCTTTTCCTTCTCAAACAAATGTAGGCTAATTTGTTTACCTGAATTCAGTACTTCCCTACTTGTGCTTCCCCTTGCTTTCAGAGACTATACTATGCAGATTTCCAGTGTGTTTCATCTCAAAAACAGCCCTAGCCTTCATCCCCTCCTCACTTTGCTTTGCATCCTTCTTTCTGGAAGGCACGGGTGACAATGGACAAGGGACACTGTCCCATCTCTCACTGAGAAGACTGCTTTGGTCTCTCGCATTGGCAACCTTTACGCACTTCAGCGTACTGGCAGAACTGCCATGGACAGCTGGGCATCGGCATGCATCTCTGCAGCATCCTGAAGCTCGTGCCAGCTAGATTGGCACTCTCATTTGTACCATGATGCTTGCCAGCTCCAAGGAAGTGCCAGGCATCGCCAGCAGCTGCGTTGATGACTTGCAGACACGTAGGCTGGATTTGTTAGCTCCTTATCAGCTTACAAATGACTTTGACAAATTTTCTTCTTTGATTTTCTTTTTTTTTAATTTTCTTTTCAAGGGGATGTTTGGATTCCTATTGCATAGCTTTGTTTATATACCAATTAAAGCAGGAAGCAATTACCATCAATTATCATGTGAGATTAGCTACTGTCTTGTAATTACCGTGTTAATTGACATTAAGTTTATATAGAAATTATTGTTGCCTCCTTCCAACTAAAAAAGAAAGACTGGTATGTCAGGAATGAAGAAAGCATGTCTACAAATATAATCTCTCCCTCTAAGAAAATCTATCTGGAGAGCACTTCTCTTAAACGTCTGTGAATTCCTCATTTCTGATGTCATTTCTTCACTCAGAAATGCATGATGATGTGCTTGACAGCCTCCAAAACAGTCCCCAAAACATTTTCTAGACTTCTCCTCATTCAACAGGGCTGTCCTGTATAAGGATATTGTTGGAATGAGCCTGTGTGACTTCCACGGTTGGAACAGGAAGGACATTGCCCTCTTGGATCACACACTCTACAAGAAAGCAGCCCCCTGTCATGAGGACCCTCAAGCAACTCTACGAAGAGATCAACATCATGCAGAAAGGAGACCTCTCCCCAACAGCCACTGTGCTGGCCATGTGAGTGACCCCTGTAGAAAGGGGTCTTCCAGGCTATACCCAGTCAAGGCTATAAACAACTGTGTCCCCAACCACATCTTCACTACAACCTCATGTGAGCCCCTAGCCAGCACGATCCAGCTAAGTTGCTTCCAAATCACTGATTCACAGAAACTATAAGACAGAATTAACATTTATTATTGTCTGAGTCTTCCCTGGTGGTTCAGACAGTAAAGAATCTGCCTGCAATGCAGGAGACCCATATTTGATCCCTGGGCTGGGAAGATCCCCTGGAGAAGGGAATGGCAACCCACTCCAGTATTCTTGCCTGGAGAATCCCATAGACAGAGGAGCCTGGCAGGCTACAGTCTATGGGGTTGCAAATAGTTAGATATGACTAAACGACATTGTCTAAAGTCACTAAATTTTGAGGGGATTTGTTAGGTAATTGTAGGTAATTGATACAGAAGGTGATTATTATTACTGATAGTGATGCTAACTCTCATTCCCTGGGAAAGGAAATACAAAATCAGACGTTGGAGTCTCCCCTTAAGAATGTGACAAGATTTTCATTTTGGGGGGAGGTGCGGTGTTAGATTTTTTTCTCATTTATTTATTAGCCAGCAGAGTCTTTAGTTGCAGCAGGTGGAAACTTTTTGGTTATGGCATGAAAACTCTTAGTCGTGGCATGCGGGATCTAGTTCGCAGACCAGGGATTGAACTTGGGCCCGCTACATTGGGAGCTCAAAGTATTAGTCATTGAATCACCAGGGAAGTCCCCATGAAAAGTTTAATTAAAGATAAGTCACAAGGCAAGTGACTTGGAAATAAATTACACTGCTTATTTAGATAATGATTTGTATTTGCATTCTTAGTGACAAAGATAGAGTAAGTATCCAGATTCTTTGACCCCAAGACCTAAAGAAGTAACATCTTTTCTAAGGAGAGAAAAGCAAAGTTCCTAGAAAGAACTATGACAGAGATCTCCTATCATTCATACAGATTTTCTTTGGTGTTTTTTCTACCATTAGCATAAAGAGATAAAAATCTCCTTTAAGTTGTTTTATTACAGCCCTATCTTTATCTGTTTGAAATGTAAACCGCTATGTTTGTACAGAAGTTAAAGTTTGTGAAAAGTTTTAGATAATTATATAAAGTCACAAAAGGTAACCCTCAGAGAAAACATAACTTTTATAAATTACTTCTTTTGTTAATTTGGAGAAGGAAATGCAACCCATTCCCGTATTCTTACCTGGAAAATCCCATGGATGGAGGAGCCTGACAGGCTACTGTCCATGGGGTCACAAAGAGACAGACATGACTGAGCGACTTCACTTTGTTAATTACTTCAGAAATAACTGAACTTAAACTGATTTTGTTCTGCTTTCCTGCCTAATACTAAAATACTGGTGGTGAACAGACACTATAAAAAAATATCAACTCATCTGGCCTTTTGAACTGACTGTTATAGTTTTCTATGTTCTTTTTTCCAACACCAAAAAAAAGCTTGACTTAAATCATAATACCTCTAATCATTTCTAAATCTAAAACCCAATATGAAACCCTATTCTTCTACACTGGAGTATAGTACTTTGGGGTTTATAGAGTGTTTCCACAGGACTGGAAAGGGTCAGTTTTCATTCCAATCCCAAAGAAAGGCAATGCCAAAGAATGCTCAAACTACCACACAATTGCACTCATCTCACACGCTAGTAAATTAACGCTCAAAATTCTCCAAGCCAGGCTTTAGCAATACGTGAATCGTGAACTTCCAGATGTTCGAGCTGGTTTTAGAAAAAGCAGAGGAACCAGAGATCAAATTGACAACATCTGCTGGATCATAGAAAAAGCAAGAGAATTCCGGAAAAATATCTATCTCTGCTTTATTGACTATGCCAAAGCCTTTGACTGTGTGGATCACAATAAACTGTGGAAAATTCTTAAAGAGATGGGAATACCAGACCATCTGACCTGTCTCTTGAGAAACCTGTATGCAGGTCAGGAAGCAACAGTTAGAACTGGACATGGAACAACAGACTGGTTCCAAACAGGACAAGGAGTACGTCAAGGCTGTATATTGTCACCCTGCTTATTTAACTTATATGCAGAGTACATCATGAGAAACACTGGGCTGGAAGAAACACAAGCTGGAATCAAGATTGCTGGGAGAAATATCAATAACCTCAGATATGCAGACGACACCACCCTTATGGCAGAAAGTGAAGGGGAACTAAAAAGCCTCTTGATGAAAGTGAAGGCAGAGAGTGAAAAAGTTGGCTTAAAGCTCAACATTCAGAGAACTAAGATCATGGAATCTGGTCCCATCACTTCATGGCAAATAGATGGGAAAACAGTGGAAACAGTGTCAGACTTTATTTTTGGGGGTTCCAAAATCACTACAGATGGTGCTTGCAGCCATGAAATGAAAAGACACTTACTCCTTGGAAGGAAAGTTATGACCAACCTAGACAGCATATTAAAAAGCAGAGACATTACTTTGCCAACAAAGGTCAGTCTAGTCAAGGCTATGGTTTTTCCAGTGGTCATGTATGGATGTGAGAGTTGGACAGTGAAGAAAGCTGAGCACAGAAGAATTGATGCTTTTGAACTGTGGTGTTGGAGAAGACTCTTGAGAGTCCCTTGGACTGCAAGGAGATCCAACCAGTCCATCCTAAAGGAGATCAGTCCTGGGTGTTCATTGGAAGGACTGATACTGAAGCTGAAATTCCAATACTTTGGCCACCTCATGAGAAGAGTTGACTCATTGGAAAAGACCCTAATGCTGGGAAGGATTGGGGGCAGGAGGAGAAGGGGACAACAGAGGATGAGATGGCTGGATGGCATCACTGACTTGATGGACATGGGTTTGGGTGGACTCCGGGAGTTGGTAATGGACAGGGAGGCCTGGCGTGCTGCGATTCATGGGGTCGCAAAGAGTCAGACACGACTGAGCAACTGATATGAACTGGACTTCTTGCACATTATCTCGGTTGTAGAACATTAGCAACAATGATGATATCAGCCGATTAGGTATTTTGATGCTTATTTTATAGATATGAAAACACAATACACCCAAACTTACAGAATTAGAAAAAGCAGAGCTAGGATGGGAAACCATGCCTAGCAAGGGACAGACTGTGGAGTTGAACCTTCAGGCATCTGACTTTAGACTATTGTTACAAGCTGAAGAAAATAGGGCAGTTACTGAGTGATGTTTTATTAAGAGTGGCCAGGAACATGCCTGTCCCACCAAGACATGTTGCCATGCCCTGAAAGGCTCCCAAGGAAGATCACTGCACGGAACACACCTGGGAAAACACAGCACATTTTCCTTAGGGAGGGAGTTCCCACACCCCAGCAGTTAAATCACTTCCACCCGCATTATGGTAGCCAAATCCTGGCTATATATCCCCATCCTCTCTGCAGGTGAGGCTAGACATGTAGTTTTCTTGTATAACCAAAGGAAATGAGATGGATGAGAAGCTAGAAGGTCTCTGGCATATCTTACAAATTTGTGCACAAATACACTATGGAGACCAGAAATACCCATAAGAGGAATCACCGAGACCCCGGAGGAATTCCTGCACATATACACCAGAAGACACATACAATTGTGCTCATGGAAGCACTGCTCATAATAGCAAAAATCTGGAAGCCATCCAAATACCCATCAATAAGAAGCTGGAAACAATCCAAATACCCATCCACAGGTGTAAAAATATTTTTTTTCACCAAATTGAATATTTATAGCAGTGAAGTGAGTGAACTACAATCACAGAAAATAAGAAAGGTGAATCAAAAAAATTAAGTTTCCCTAGTGGCTCAGCGGTAAAGAATCTCCTTGCCAGTGCAGGAAATATGGGTTCAATCCCCAGGTCAGGAAGTTTCCCTGGAAAAAGAAATGGTGACCCACTCCAGTATTCTTGCCTGGGAAATCCCATGGATGGAGGAGCCTGGTGGGCTACAGTCCATGGGGTCACAAAAGAGTTGGACATGACTTAGCGACTAAACAACAATAATATAACATATTCCAAAATGACAACAACAACAAAAATCCAAAACACCTGCATGTGTTTAGTGAATACAATTTGATGACTTTGGACACGTGCATACACCCAGGGGGTCACAAAGAGTTGGGCACAACTTAGTGACTGAACAACAACATGATAGTACCACTATAATCAACGTGATAAACATATAAACACTCCCATTACCTCCAAAAGTTGCCTTGTGTTCTGATTTTGTGTATATGGTAAGAGTGCTTACCATGAAATCTACCTTCTTAAAAAGTTAAGCGCATAATACCATGTTGTTAACTCCAGGGGAACATTGTAGAAGAGATCTCTACAGCCTATGGATCTTGTGTAACTGAAACTTTGGACTCCTGAGCAACAACTTCCCATTTTCCTCTCTCTCCAGGCCCTAGCAACAGCCATTCTATTCTCTGTTTCTACCAAGGTGACTATATTAGATACCTCCTGTAATGGAAGCAGGCAATGTTCCTTCAGAGATGTTAAGGTTTATTTTACTGAACATCATGTCCTCTGGGTTCATCCATGTTGCCATAAATGGTAGAATTTACTTTGAAATGAAAGGGTTTCCAGAATAAGAACAAACATTTGCTATTTCTACGATTTGGATGTTGATAAGTTCTCTCCTTCCCCTGTATCTCTTTGCCTTTGTACATGCAGAGAAATTCAAGTACAAAAGCAGAAATGGGAGTGACTGAGATGCAGTTTGCAAAAAACATGAAAATGCTATTTCCTCATTCATGTCCAACTCTCTGTGACCCCATGGACTGTAACCTGCCAGGCTCCTCTGTCCATGAAATTCTCCAGACAAGAATACTGGAATGGATTGCCATTCCCTTCTCCAGGGGGTCTTCCCGAGCCAGAGATCGAACCCAGGTCTCTTGCATTGCAGGTGGATTCTTGAAAGTCTTATTGCTGATGATTGCTCAGGGAAAACATCTAAGCAGAGGAAAGTAGTTACACAGAATATCGTCTAGGATCCCTTGAAAG